TTAATCAAACGATCGAGAGATAAATTGCGAAAGTGACGATCGCGTTTCGTTCATCCCGCGCGAAGTTCGATAAAAGCGAACGCGATGCGAATGATTAGCAAACCGATGGATTATTCGAATCGACGATGACTCTTCCATTTTCTCCTTTATGGTGAATAAGTGAATAACACGATCGGCGAGACGATCGGCGGGTGTAATCGACGAGAAATCGACTCGCGATACGTATACACACATACATCGGAGGGGTTATATTGCAGCATTGGCGGGCGGATAGATTCGAGGGCCGTGGTCACGCGAGATTCCGGGAAAAGTCGTTTCGCGCGCGTCCCGAAAGGGGGTTTTAAAGCAGGCAGCGCGGGTCGCAGTTTCTGCGTCGGTTAATAAAGGCCTCTCCGACATAGTCGATCGTTATTAGATCGGGCACTCCTTCTTCGGCCCGCCAATCTTGCCCGCCCAATATACTTCGCGATAACTCGTAAAACGCAACATTTTGTTTCGTATACCAATTACCCCCACCTCGGTGGGTATCGAGGGGGGCCGCAGAGGTGTGCGCCGCCGCATCGACCGCGTTCCGCACGATCACGTTCCAATAGAGAGAAAGAGAGAGAAGAAGCTCGCCGTTACTCGACGAATGTTAGTCCAAGTTTCGCTTCGTGGGGATGCGTGACCTGCGTAAAAGTGATCGAATATTTAAGAGAGAGAGAGAGAGAGAGAAAGAAAAACGAAGGAGTTCGGAAAGTGGAGGAGAAAGAGGAGAATTCGCGTATATCCGGCGTCGCGATATCGCGCGTCTCTGCTGAATATGGATTAGGAGAAGAGAGAGAGAGAGAGGAAGACGAGAGCGTTCCGGATAAGGAAAAATTAGCAGGCAAGTTACGATCTACCGTCACGGGTTCACGCTTCGCGACTCCATCGCAATCGTATCGAGCCGATACCATTTCTTCTCTCAACGTTCCTTTCCAACGTTTTCCAACGGGTTACCCGCTCATCGTGGAGAATTTCGTGGAAAAATTCGCGGAGAGGCAGGCTAATAATACGCAAATACGGATCGTGGCGTGGACGGAGGAGACAGTGGGATGGCTCGTGTGGTGGTGGTGTGGTACCCTCGGTTCCCGACGAAGCGCGCGAGAATTATGTATTACACCGATAGGTACATAACGCCTGTACGCCACGTCGAATGGCTACTTTGACTGGTCGGAGCGAGCGTGCAATGGCCACCATTGCGGCTCGCTACGGCTCGAATACAACGGCGGGACGCGGCCGCAGTGGCGGCGGTGGCGGCGGCCATTATAAAAATAACTGCTGATTGGACGCCCTACCAAGAAAAGTCGTAATCGCATCCTGAAATGCTTCTTCTCTCTCTTCCTTTCACCTTCCCTCCTTCTCCTCCCGCTCTCTCACTCTCTCCTTCCCCCCGTTTTCTTTTCCCCTCGCCATTTCTTTCTACTTATCTTCGTATCTTCTTCTCCGTCTCCCCCCCTCGCCCGCTAGATTCCTGTCGAACAATGAGACCCATTCCTCCCGTCGACTTCCACACCTTCTTCTCTTCCCTGGTATCGTCTCCTCTGGAAGGAGAAGCGTACCCGCGATACATACCCGCTCGGTCATCCGTTTCTCGATTCCTCTTCTTTCCTTTTTTTTTCTTTTCTCTTTCTTTCTTTTTGGAGAGGAGCTCGAAGGGGTAAAATCTTGTTTTCTGTAAAATCAAAGGCTCTCGAATCTCTCTCGAATTTATTCCCTCGAGTATATGGAGCGAGCGAGCGCGAACCGGCCATTTTCCTCGAGGAACAAGGGGAACAAGAGGGGAATGATTTGTGGAGGAGCAGCAGAAAGAAAAAGCACGAGATACGTGGATGTATCGGGTGGGACGACGAGGGGGGTTCGCGAGGCTCGTCGTCGTTGGCAGGAAACGCGAGGAGGATTGGAGGCAGGGAAGAATCGGGCGCCATTTTGCGAGGCCAGGTTTTATCGCCGCGCCCTATATAGGAACATTATGCCTGGGTTGCCGGGTTGCGCGTATATCAACAATAATTGCAGGGCCAATAATAAAGCTGGAGGGACCACGCTCGATAGCCCGAAATTGCCGGTTCCCCTACCCCGGCCTGCAACGTTTTATTGCCTCCGCTCGAGAGGCCGGGAATGGCGGCAGCCCCCTTCGTCCTTCTCGATGGCGGATAAACCATCCTCACGATGCCACCGTATATACCCGCTCGATCATCCTCATCCTTCATCTTTTTCAACCGTGAGATGGACGGGGAGGAAAATCAAAGTGCGGAAGAATATTTGCGGAATATTTGTCCGCGTTTGATTTCTCGACGCGAACGGAGGAAGGGATTAAGAGAGGGTTATATCGGGTTATAAGGTGGACTTCGTTCTCTTCGTTTCTTTTCTCTCTCTCTCTCTCTCTTTTTCTCCTTCATCGCTGGTAGTCTGTCAAAGGAAAAGTTCGCTCGGTAGCGCGAGTTCGTTGTTATTATTAGAGATACCGACGTTGTTCGTTGCCTGTTCACGTTATATTATTCTTTTTTGCCATCGCTCTCCGGGGTATGTTGGTCGTCTTCGTCGTCTGCGTGCTCGTCGTCGTCGTCTGCGTGGTGTTCGTTGTTGCCGATGCTGCTGTTTTGCAGCAAGGTGTTTCGTAGGAAGAATCGTTGGCGAGCTCGTAAAGAGCCGCAAAGGAGAGCTCGCACGCGCGATAGTCACGAGTATTGCCCTTGTTAACGCCCCGTTAACTCGAACCTCTGGACAAACTCGTAAAATTTACCGGCTTCGAGCCGGTAAGACTACCACCGCGCGATGTACAACGGTTGCCGGTGAATTTTCGCGTGACTTTAAATCGAGCTGGAATTATGTGTTTAGTGCTAACGTCGGCCGAGGCATCGCGATGCGAGAATATCTCCTCTCTCTCTCTTTTTTCTTCTTTCCTCCTTTTCCTCGTTCTCTCCACTTCGCGTTTTTACTTCTCGCCTTTCGAATCGACTACGGCACGAAAGAAAAAAAGGAAGAAAGGAGAGAGGAACGTAGTAGAACGTGGTGAAATTGAAAATTCGATCGGATTCGATCGGATCCCGGCCGTTGAACGTGTTCGATTATTCTCGCCCATGAACCCGTATTTACGAGAACAACGAACGGATCAAGCAATACTCGTAAACTCGACGTTTACATACGCGTTGTCGAACCGCGTTGAGATAGTCGCAAAACTTGTTAACACCCCGTTAACACGGATCGAACAGCCTCGTAACGCTCGGAATTGTCGAGTGGCCATTGACGGCGCTCGTTCCATCGAACGACGAAATTTTCGTCGTGTTATCGGTATTGATTGTGACAACTTTCAACTATTTCAAATTAATTCCCTCGATTTATGAAAGCGGTAGTTATAGTTTTCCTTGGCGCGATTCCACCGCGCGTTATCTTAAGTACCGATTAAAACTCGCGTAAAAGCTCGTAAAAGGCTCGTTCGTTGTTGGCGCGCGAGCGAGTTTGCGATAATTTCGATATAATTGCGATTTTGCACGCGGTCGGCTCGCGTGAAAAAATATTCGCCGGATTATCCACGCCGATCGATCTCCATTTCCCCCGTTTCAACGACCCCTATTTCTCACCCTTCTCCTCTCTGCTTTAAAACCCAACCATTTTTCTTTATTCTATTTATTCTATATATATATATATATATGTGTGTGTGTGTGTGTACAAGCTCTAGCTCTACGATACACGACGGGTAAGAGAAGATCGTAAAAGCAGCCGCGTTCGCGTGATCGTTACGAATTCGTTACTGCTCTTGTTAACGCCCCCTTCGCTGCAAGCCTTGGACAAACCTCGTAAAGTTGGAGCAACATTCCCGCGCGAACCATCGTCGAAAATACGATGGCCGAAACCGATCACGCGACTTGGAATTCTCGCCAACACTTTGTTCGAGTTCGCCTCGAGCTTGATCGATACCTTTCTCCTCCTCTCTCTCTCTCTCGTTATCACCTTCCCTCCCTCCCTCTTTATTTATCTTCCCCCCATTTGCTTGGGTAATTATCTTGATTTCAGGAACACCTATCAATCGACTGCCGATCATGGCGAAGTCGGTGCTGGATCTGTACGAATTGTATAATTTGGTCATAGCGAGGGGCGGCCTCGTTGACGTGATCAACAAGAAGCTTTGGCAAGAAATCATCAAAGGGTTACACTTACCATCCAGTATCACTTCCGCTGCGTTTACTCTACGTACCCAGTAAGTAGATTCGTTACAAGTTTCTCATCCGGGACGCTGTTGTACACCGTCGTTGCTCGCGATTCGAAATCCCCTTCCGGGATCGTTTCCAAGTGACGTCTCTCCCCCCCCTCCCTTGGTTCCATCGAATAGTCGATCTCCCTTTTTTCTCTCCTTTCTTCTTCTTCTTCTTCTTTTTCTTCTTCCTCTTCTCCGATCGTTTCTCATTTTTCTCCTCGTTTCTCGAGAGTGGAATTTGGAGGAAGGAATCGATCGGAACGTGGAGGATGAAAAAGAAGGGGAGGAAGATAAGTGGAGGAGATCAAAGGGTGGGCCGGACGTGTTCCGTTGTTTGGGAAACGCCGCACTATCATCATTACCGGTGGCGAACGGGAGCGGGCAAACGAGGACTGTTTGTGTGCTTAAGATGGCGGCTTGTATCAGGAACGGCGTATGTTCTCCGCGTAACAAAAATATACGGTCCACAAAAGAAGAAAAAGATCGGGGGAGGGGGAGAGAACACGATATATTAACGCTCGTGTTGTTGTTGTTATTGTTGTGCGAGCACTCGAAACCGTGGAAACGAGATAGCCGGAGAGGAAGAGAGAGAGGGGCGGCCGGCCGGCTCGTGCCGGTGGTAACCCCATTCGTCACCTGCCGGAGGAAGGAAGGAAGAAGTCGACGCTCTCGTCCTCCCTTTTATCTCGAACCTTCGATCGAAATAAAATAATCTTTCTCTCTCTCTCTCTTTCTCACATTTCTTTCGACATTTCCGGGGTATTATACGCTCGCCAACCTTCGTACAAATTGATATAAAATTCGAACGATCGATTTGCACGTCGAGGAACCAAGTTGCTCGAATTCGATACGAGGGATTTGGAGGCGCGAACAGCTGGTTCCTCTCTCGCGAGGTTAATCGCGCGGTTTCGCTTACGTAATGGCCGTTCGCAGCCAAGATTTATCGGGCTCGCCGCTTCTAAATATTGTTCGACAAAAGGGAGAGAGAGAGAGAGAGAAGATCGGGTATAAAATAAAAGGAGGGATCTCGAAAGGAGGAAAAATCGTGGAGAAACGTGTCGGTGAACAGATGGCGAGGATGTCCGCGAAGCGGAGCGCGACGCTGTGTTGGGGGCCGAAACGTGAATTACACGGGTGCGATGCTCTCTCTCTCTCTCTGTTCTCGAATCACTCGTGAAAATAACCCTGGAACGGGCGGTGCGTGACGCGCGACGGAACGTCGGGACGCCGGCGCATCCATCATTCCGGCAACCGGTTATCCCGAGGCGGAGGGACAGGGACAGACGGAGGAAACGAAATTGTAAAGGGAGACGGCGGAGAGAGAGTGTATCGCGGTGCCTACACGACTATATCGAGCCACGCGCCTTCAACGTGTAATTATTTATACCGCGAGGGAGGCGCGCGCGCCACGCGGGGACCGCAACTCTTCTTCCATTGTGCCCGTTTTCAACACGCCGCGTTTGATTCCGCCCGACAAATTTCCGACGCGACGAGATGAACGGCACACCTCGATATTTTTGCAACAACGTAGCGAGCGACGTACACACGTTGTTAGAATCTCGAGAGAGCGAACAAGTCAAATGAAACTCGTCGAAACTCGTGCCAACACGAAATACCCGTTGAAATTAGCTCGTTAAGAGGGAAAATTCCCTCGGGAAGATTTTGTTCCGTGGAGATGAAGGAGAGAGAGGAAAGAGCGCTCGAATTTTGAATTGGAATCGAATCAGCCCGGGAAAGAGAGATTTATAGCGGGTGGACACCTGGAAGCCTCGCATGCTCGCACGGTACCAGTCGAAAGGGGAACTATTACGGGGTTATAGTGGTTGCTGCACGCACGAGACACCGAGTTTTCGAGGTTCGTCGTCGAGGGAGAACGGGTGTGGAAAGAATGAAAACAAGAAGACAAAGAAGCGAAGGAGAAGAAGGAGGAGGAGGAGGAGGAGGAAAGAACCGGGCCGAAGGGTTAGTTCGGCCGCAGTCTGGCAGACAATCGTAAAAATCGAACGATCCCTACGCGAATTATAGGCCGCGGTTCTCGCCAATATGTCTATCCACGAAAGTGTGTGCGAGCGTCAGTCGATCTGCTGCCACCTTTCGCAACGGCCCAACCTTTCTTTCTTTCTTTCTTTCTTTCGTCTACCTTCGATAAAATAAAAATATCTCTCTTGGCATCCCTTTTGCCAATTCGTCCTCTCACGCTCGTTTAGAAGCGTCGCGATATCTTTTTTCTTCGATCCCGAGATAGAAATTCCAAGTAAATTTTTCCTGGAAGTGTTATTACTTTTCATTTCTCACGTGTCACGGTATATATATATATATATAATTTCGACGAGAGACCAGTTTTCGGTTACAAACAACAAAGTTAGCGCGTTGTTTACGAACCGTTTCCAACTACGATTCATCTGTCGCGAACGACGGCATCGTTCAGGTGCAATTAGCGGGGCCTGGCCGAGCATTAAACTCGACCGAGCGAGCCACGCTCTAGACGCGGGATTAAATTAAGCGGCGCACACGACGGTACCATCCAGTCGCGTTCGGATCTGCCTTGCCAATTTCGCGTTCGGCGAACCGTGCCCCACCCTCTTCCTCCTCGATAACGGGATAATACCGTCTCCCCTTTTTCGTTCCACCTTTAGAAAAAAAAAAAAGGAAGGAAGGAAAATTGGACGAATCGTCCTGTGCGACGATTTGACGACGACGGTACAACGACTCGACTCGACTCTGCCCACCTTGAAGCAATATTGTTTTAGAAAGCGAGCAATAACGGTCCGCGAGCGGGAAATCAACACGTCCGCTTTCTCGACGCGACGTGTCTTTTTCCCTTTTCTTTCTCTTTTCTCATCTTTTCTTGCTTGCGTTTATTTATTTTTTTTTTCTCCTCTCTCTCCCTTCCCCTTTTTCCAGGTACATGAAATACTTGTATCCGTACGAATGCGAGAAGAGACGACTATCGACACCGGCAGAGTTACAAGCGGCGATCGACGGGAATCGCCGCGAGGGACGACGAAGCAGTTACGGGACATACGCGGCGAGCGGTAGCACGACGAGCGAGGGCCTCGTCCAAAGGAATCCCCACACGCCCAACTCCTTGGCGTTGCACGCGCAAATGTCCCCGCTGTCTTTGGTCACGGCAGTTGCAGCCGGTGGCCAGCACCATGGATCGCAGTCATTGGTGAACGGCAGCGCTGCGCACACCCCATTGCCTCACCACCCGCACCATCCTCAACACTCGCAGGGCCTACCGGGACAACAACCACCGAATGCAGGTTAGTGCAGCAAGTACTCTACCGTACTCTTCTTCTTCCCTTCCTTTCTCTTGTTGTCGCCCGCCAAATTCGCGAAAAGTGAAGAGGAACGAGTTGCGTCGTTCTCATTTTCGAGACGAGACGAGAGCCTCCTGGCGGAAATCGAGGAAATGGAGCGTGGAAAGGGGACGGAAGGAGGGAGCGGCGGGTTTATTTTAAATCGGTTCCAGTTAGGGTTCCAGCCCTCCCCGGAGATGATGATGATGCGAGAAAGAGAGAGCGAAGGAGCCGTAATTGATTATACGATCCTCCGGGAGACAGGCGTTAACGGATGACTCTGGCTAACGAGCATTCCTACTTCCCTTACCCCTTTCTTCCTCCTTCTCGCCCCTACCACCACCGCTTCGCCACCCTTTCACCCGACCAATTTCCCTCTCCTACCACCACCATCGCCACCCTTCTCGCTCGCGTTCGCGCCGCCCCTCCGATTTCCATTTCCGACCTACCCGTTCGCTCCTCGCCCCGATAAATTCGTCGAACGGGAACAATGGTCGAGGCGAAACAAGGGGAGGGGAGAGGCGTGTACACGGACAGACAGTAGAGAAACCGCAATTCGGATAAGTCATTTGTCGGTGCGAGCTCGTCGAGAACCGATCTTCTTTCTCCCCCCTCCCCCTCCCCCTTTCTCGATCACCAGAGCTCTCTTGCCAGACAGATCGTTCTCAGCCCCTTCGATTCTCATTAACAGTGTCTCCGCTTTTAGAACTCCGCGGAGAAAGAAAGAAAGATAGATAGATCTCTATCCTCGCCCTTCGTTTTGTCTGAACCGTCTGTCACTACGTAGGACCTATACCCGGAATGGCGCCATCCGAATTCGAAGCACGCATGGTGGAATACGTGAAACTGTTGAACAAGGAATTGAGAAGCGGTACACCGCCACCGATGGGGCACCGGGCGGGGAGCGCGTCACCCCCGTCTTCGACGCCGTCGAGAGACGGGGCGTTCAGCGCTCTCGAGATGTCCCGATTGACCTTGTGGAACATGTACAACAACAACACCCTGTATCCAGGAGTGGGGCATCAACCACCTATATCGCCTCAAACGTCCCACTCCCCGCTACCTCCGGCCTCCAGTCCTGAACCTCAAAGGGAAGCACTCGATCTTGGACTCAGGTGAGTTGTTTGTCGGTTTTTCCCCGTTTCTTCTTCTCCCCCTTTTTCCTCTTCTTTTCGTCCTAACCCTGGAATCAAGTCGCGAGCTCCTTTTTCTCAGGTCATCGCCTGTATCCTCGCCAGCCAGGCAAAGTTCACCCTCTTCGGGTGGTAGTATGCAAGTCGTCAAGAGGGATACGGAACTGACCGTCGCGCCTGGACCTCCCCCCGCTAAAAGGTTACTCTCGGATGAGGACAGTCCGCCTGAGAAGAACGCCCCACCCACTCTGGGCACGCACATTAAAATTCGAATCGAGGTAACGGCAACGATTGCTCGAACCTAACTTTCTTCCTCCCTCTCTCTCTCTCTCTCTTCTCCCGGCGCAACGAGATTCTTGGTTATATATTTTCCAGGTGACGGCAGAAACGGTGACAATTCCTTAGTAGTCAGTATGGAGTTGAACGGAGTAATGTATCAAGGTGTTCTGTTCGCTCAAAGTGACAGCAGGTCCACGAGCAGTACAGCGTCCACCGCCAACAACAACAATAACAATAACGCGAAACCGTCGCGGAGCGTGGTCTCGTGAACGCTCAACGTGAATCGTCGAGAGCTATATCCGCGAAATATATAATAGCTCTCTGTACAGGACACGCTCCCTCGCGTCGGTTGTTAAGTAGCACCATTAATATTAATAAACAAAGAGTCGAGAGTGTAAGCGGTATAAAGGGTGTTGTATAGGGTGTAAAGACTTGGTTTAGACTCGGTCGGAGGACCGCTCAATTTCTCGCATTGTCTTTCCTTTCGTTCAACCCGACGATATGATTAGGAAAGGGGAGGGGGGGAAGGGAAGAGGGAGCGGGGTAGGGTTGGGTTGGGTGGGGGTGGGGGGGGGGGGGATACACGTGAAAAATAACGATACTTGTACGGTTGAACTGGAACAGAATGAATTTTCTCTTCGAAGAATCTTGACTGGAAGCACTCGGCCAAATAGATTAACCGTTTTTCGAGTATAACGAACTTCCGAACCGGATCGATCATTTGTCTTTTTTTTTTTCTCCTTTTTTTCTCCTCCTTTCTCTCTTTCGTCACTTTATCAATTATCACCGAATCAAAACATCTTAACTTATTTATTATTATTACGATTTGCTGATTTCTCGAGACTTGAGGCGGCGTTTGATTATTATTATTATTTTATTTTTTTTTTTTTTTAGTTCTTTTCTTTTTTTTTTTCCTTTTTTT